TGTCATGTAAAACTTAAAATCTAACAATCTACTTTTTGATCGATGATTGTTAAGTAAATGGAGTCAAGTCTATAGGCATGATACAGTTATTACTAGAAGGTTAATGCTTGAGAAAAATATGGATAAATTGTTTAAGTAAATAAATCTATTGAATGTTTGTGATAGAGCTGTTAATTATGTAAAGAATAAGAGGCGTAAAATTATATTTTTATTTACTGATATTAAATAAAATGAAATATTTGCTCAATTTTTAAGGTATTCAACTTTCAGCCAATCATTTTCAGGTTCAAACTTCACTCCATTCATTTTAGTTTGAACAAACGAGTAGTATTGCTTTCATCAAATTCAGGTACATTGATATGTATCTGGTCAGTGATTTGAATAAATAAATGCAGAGTCAATTTAATGTCTATGATCATTGATAGGATACACACTAAACGAAGAATAAACAACATTTGCTGGTTCAGATATCCAAATCACTAATTTTTACAGTTGTTTAAACTGGATAATTTTGAATATTAAATCTATGTACTCTTGTGTTATTTTAAAGTAGTTTACTATGATGAGATTATAATTTATGGAAGACATTTGAGCGACTCTAGACTGACCTTGAGAAAGTCCACCTGATAACTAGGACCGAATGAGGGTTATAAATCAATGTGACGAGTTCGAATTATGATTTACAGTTGATGGGTTTTCATCACGAACTGTTATCAGCTATAATGCCAAGACTCTATTTAGCCAAATGAAAGAGTGAATTTTTCACCGAAATCCGAGACCTGTTATCTTACACCTGATTGGTTTGTCCATAAATTATAGTCTCGCCGGTAACTATTTATATTGTAATGCTAAACACTGAAAAACCCATACCGAAACACAACATTTATTATCAGAATGGGTTTCGTGGAGATTTTTAGAAATTTCACAGGTTGAAATCATGAGTCAATTGAAGCTAGACCACCATGGAAAACCTGGAAGCATTGGATGGCCGTTTCGTTCTATTGTGGGACTCCTCAACAGTGCATACCCTCGACCCCGCCTTACGGCATTCAAACCCAGGACCTATCAGTCTCGCGCGCAAGCGCTTAACCACTAGACCACTGAGTTGGCCGGCATCCAACGGTGTTCATGTCTAACTTCAACCAATCCACGAAGTTGCGCCACCGTACATCATTGTCTTCAGTAAGCTGATATCTCACAACAGACCTAGTTGGACTCCACTTCTCACTAGAATTCCAGGAGTATCTCCCGAAGTCAGTCACTAGTGAGTAGCTGATTATTATCAGGATGGGTATTGTGGAGATTTTTAGAAATTTCGCAGGTTGAAATCATTTATTGATATGTATATATATATATATATATATATATATATATCCATATTTATACTTTGCAGAAATAAGAAGTGATTTTATTGACGCATTAAGTATATCATAGATGAATTAGATAGTTATTCGAATTGATATATATATATATATATATATATATATATATATATATATATATATATATATATATATATATATATATATACTTCGAATCATTACTATTTGGATGTGGTTTGAAGAGATATTCATTACAGTATTTCATAAATGATATAGAAAATTCCCTATTATATCAGAACTTAATATACATTGTTAAGATTATTATTTCTTTTCTTGGTAGATGTCTTCGTTGGATTGATGAAATTTATTTCAAAAAAGAAAATGGTAGGGATAAATGATTAGCCTGATTACATTTGAAAATATTAAAATATTTAAACTCGAAGGTCACAATTGATTGATCACTGGGTGGTGATCAATGTCGTGCTTGTCCAGTCCTTATTAGTGCAGATCGAATGCTATCGATCATGTTGCAATGTGGCCAGCAGTCTAGGTGACTCGACACTGCGGGCACTATGTATTGAGATTAGATGGTGGTTGGAGGTAGTCAACAGGAAACCCTGGACCCGGGTTTCGTGCTACTTGGCACTCGTCAGCAAGGTGTACCTGTAATCTTGAGGGAACTGGTGCTCCCTGGCGGATTCGATCTCGTGTCACCCAGCTTCACAGTCAGAGACGTTACTACTGAGCTATCCGAGCCGTGACTAACCTCCTGGGTGACACGAGTTCGAATCCGCCAGGGAGCACCAGTTCCCTCAAGATTACAGGTACACCTTGCTGACGAGTGCCAAGTAGCACGAAACCCGGGTCCAGGGTTTCCTGTTGACTACCTCCAACTACCATCTAAACTCGAAGGTGATTGTATAATAAACTTAGGATGATTAAATAAATGAAACATTTGACTTTTCCTATATTGAAAACATCCCAAATAAGCTATAGAACAAAATCAAATTATTTAATCTAGTGATCTGATTAAAACTTTGTTGATATAAATTGATTGGTAATAAAAACATGACAGTATGACTATGACGGGGGGGGGAAGGTTACCAATTAAATAATTATAATTGGTATACTTTTCTATCGAATGAATAAAGGAATGTTTTCTAGTAAACCATTACTAAACCTAAACAGATATCAAATTTCAATCAGTTTTAGTACAATTAGTTAAAATTAAACGGTCACAAATGGATATACTTCGGCGATACATCACTCAACCTAGACATTACCATAAATGGTGAAGTGTTATCTAGGTTACATACAGTAGTAGACATAGGTATTCTCAAGACTTGTCGTTTACAGAACAGATATTAAAACAGACATTTAAGTCTCAACGTCTAATAGGTTACATAACTCGAAAACTTTATAACAATGAGTCACGTATTTTAATGTACAAAGTTTGTGCTCGACCTCTTCCAGAATATTGCACGTGCATAAAAGATAAATTAAGGCTGAAATCAGTACAGAGACGATTTACACTTCGTATTCATTGCAGCTGATTGTACCTCAACTTATAATTCCAGATGTAATAAACTTAGGCTAGACCCTTTATGGAGGAGGAGACTCAAACTAAATCTTATCTTTTTCCTCAAACTACTTAATAAACTATCGTTTACATCCAATCACGTTATTCAATATGCAGAAACTTATCATTATGACATCCGTAATTCCTTGGCATTAGTGAAGCAAACTCATTCTAAATCATCTCTCTATATGAATTACTTCACCTGTAAATTTTCTAGACTCTGGAATAACCTACCACAATCTATCCGTACGATAGAATCACTCCCATTATTTGTTCGCTGCATCGATGCATACTGCTCCCCTGAAAATGCATTGAATGTTCTAGCACCTGTAAGGCTATCTCATTCCACAAGTGATATCACAGGAACTTTAAATGTTTAGCCATTATTATTGGTGAATTTTCAATGTAAAACCACCTACTTGCTGTCACTTTATCTTAACACCGTCCCCAGCAAGTTTAGCTAATTTGAATAGTATCAACAGTATATCACTGTGTCACATAACACATGCATTTTGGTAGACCTGATTGACTTATTTTGTTAATTATTACTTTGTTGTTCCGTGCTCTCTGTCTTCATTTTACTGTCTCTAGTTGTAGATAATTATGAATTATTCGATTTGGTACAGGAAATGACCTCAGCTAATTACACTGTTCATAAATCAACAGGCTGTCCATTTAAGAAAAATTAAAAGTTCCTAGCTGATACATTAGATCTCTGTAATATATGTACTACCTAAACAATTACTGAACTAGTATACTTAAAACTATCGTCTATCACATGTTTGTTCTGTACATCTAATGTTCCTCTTTATATCAAATTGATCATACCTGTAAACTGGCATGAATTCTGTAATTCTTATTATTAATTGCCTATTTTGTATATTTAAAGATTAAATTGTATAATTTATAAGTTAGAAATAATGCAAAAAAATCAATATTACCTTCATAGTAGGAATACTGAAAAGTGTCATATCAAATTATTCTAGTTATAAATATTTTCTTTCATGTATTTAATCGAAATTACATTGACAATGTTTATAAATTGTACATTGAATTTATATTAATCTAAAATCATTATGATTCATAATTAGATCAATTTATACTCTATAAACTCTATCAGTTTTTTGTATATTTTGTGTTTATACTAATTTCTTCATAAATTAATATGCAAGGTTTAAGTAGATTTATAGCGGATAAGTTTACCTGGATATTAAAGGATAGTTAATAAATAAGTCAGATACCTAGAAATTTAAAGCGTATATCAAGAAATTAATCACTTCACGATCTAATGTTTTGTAGTTAAAACTCTAGAATTCCATTCTATAGATAAGTTCTTAGGTGGATTGATTGAGGTTAAATAGTAGCACTATTGGGTGCCGGCCGGTTCAGTGGTCTAGGGGTTAACCGTTTGCGTGCGACACCGATAGGTTCTGGGTTCGAATCCCGTGGGGGACGGGATCGTGGATGTGCACTGCTGAGGAGTCCCACACAGGGACGAAATGGCCATCCAGTGTTTCCGGTTTTTTCATAGTGGTCTAGCTTTAATTGACTCATGAATTCAACTATTAAATTAGAATTCACTGTTGAAATGCCAACTGAGATTTCTTAATATTAATGTAAATTAAAACTTGTTTAAATTAATTTTGCTATTTTTGAAGATTCAATCCATTTAAGTAGTATTGCGATAAAAGCAGTAATAATCTTTTGCATGTAAGTATACCAATTGTTAAGGAGTTAATTTTACTATAAAAGACTCACTACATAAATAAGTGACTGATCTTAGACTCATTAAACCATCTGTGACCACTGAATATTGCTGCGTATCAATTTTTCGTACCCTTAATCCGTCTTACATATTACATATAAATGAGTCGCTTTTTCGTTAGTAAATTAGCACTTGGAAACTCTCTGTTGATGCAGAATATGTTCTAATCTTTTCGAAATTGATTAAGTTTAAATCATAATTTCAGTAATCATTTTATTATCTCCAAGAAGAGGAACCTTTACAATTCAAGACTGTTATCAATTGACGAGAAATTACGGAATACAATAGATCATAGATACTCTCTGAATAACTTGATCATATATATAATACTTACATCTCGTGATTTGAGTCCAGATGTAGGGACTGGTGGCCAGCGATAACTAGACATGATTAATCAATAAATGCGTTTAGATCACAATAGGATATCCTATAGATTTACTCATTTATTGCTTCATCCATCTTTTTTTCTGATTTTCGTAAATAGTTTGATAGTAATTATCTTTTGAAGAAACACATTGCATGGAACATTAAATGACGTTTTACAATTGTTATCAATAATTGAAACCTTTTTTTCTTTATGTTCCTGGTGTTTATGTATGTGTGTGTGTGTTAGTGTACTGAATAGAATTTTGTTCTTGATTATGGAAATAATATTATCGTGTATTTATAAGTTGTTACTACTAAATTTTATCATTTTAACAGTAGTATGTAATAAACAGTCATAATTGTGCTAAAACACTTTGATGATTATTAAACGTTGAGAGTGAAAAACAAAGGATATTTTCTTGATGGAATTGTTCGATATGAATTATTTACAATAGAAAAGTTACATATAATCCATAAACAAGGCATTTTCTTTACAATGAATTTAGTTAAACGTAGATTATTATTATTGTTGTTGTTGTTAACTTCAATGGGAAAATCTGTGAATTAGTATTCAAGGGGGGCAGGAGGGTCTAAGTTTATTGTCATTAAAATAATTTTATCAGTTGATACGAAATACCTTTTTTTCCGGAAAATATTTTTTTATCTTTTAATGTTACGTTTTGTTAAAAGTTAAAAAACTGAAAACTCTCTTGACAATAAGAGAGAATAGTCTTTTGTTAAGGTTATTGTAAATCAGTAATGAAATGAATAATTCTTTATAATCATTTAAAACTTAAGTTGGATTCAGTTAACTAACTAGCTAACAAGTAGTTATACTTAGTGTGTATGCTTGTATGAGAGTGTTTATTCATCAGCTTCATATGTTTTCTTATTTTGTTCGGTTTATTATTGACTCTATATTTTCCTATTCTACACTTTTAGGCACATATAGTTGGTTGAAATATATCGATTAAAATTGTGCATTTCCTTTGTAAAGGTAAACGGAAATAATACTAGTTAAGACTACATATTCATATGTGTTCATTTGTTAACTATATGTAGACAAACATCCGCGTAACGAAGCACATATACATAGATATACATTTATCTACACTTCAAAACGAATTCAAAAAGAAAGAACAAATATATATACAGACAATAAAAAAGGGGACAATCAGTTGCTTGTATTTTCTGAAAATCCTCTTACCTTTTTAGTTATATCTTCAAAATGTATAAATATACATTAGGCAACAGTAATGCCTGTTCTCTGTTTTTCTGTTATGTGCTTCACTTTTTTTTCCAAAAAGGATTTATTATTGATTTTTAGGTTTTGATAGGATGTAAAATGTAGTGTTATATATATATATATATATATATATATATATATATATATATATATATATATATATATATATATATATATATAATTTCTCACAAAAAATGTTCAATATTCAATTGTCTAATGAAATAGAATGTATCTAATATAATTAAAGAATAAAAAAATTTATGGGGACAATATCTAGTAAAAGACAAAAAGTTATTGATTATAGGAAACGAAATATTTATAGTTTGATGTGAACAATTTTATGTAATTTGTAGTACAATGTACAATTTATTAATTGAATTACACTGATATTAGAAATAGTATATAACAGCTCACGTACAATTGAGATTGTTCCCATTTAATTTGGTTAAGCTTTTCTTTGTTAACTTATGTCATAGACAGAGTCATTCGTGCAAACAACAACTTATCTATATCATTGTACTTTTATTATTGTTGCACTTATATGAGCATTGATTACTGACTACGTACATATTCATTCTGCTAGCGTTAGTGTTAGTCGCTTAAATGATTCGATAACTTATTCATTTTCCTATGTATGTAAACATGAACATTGTAATCCTGTTGATTATTTGACTCACTTGCTTGTTTTTCAGCAGTAGATTTTCATTCTTGCTTTGTGTGCCTATGGTTTCGTTGACCTGTGCGTAGTGCATTAATAAACATGATTAACGTTTCGTATTCGTCTTCAGACTTAAACATCGTTGAAGGCGTTATCTAGTAACAGTTATCAGGATAATTAGTATACGAAATTTAAGGATAATATCGAATACCGACCATCAAAAGTACATTCTCGTATGAAACATACACAGTATTATATTTTAAAATTTGCATTATGAATTAAAGAAGTGATCAGCATTCCATTGATGTTTGTATAAGGAATTCATTTACAGCGAATAAACATTTATCAAAACTCATTTATAGTGAGAATATTTCACTCATAATCTCTTTATTTATGTTGTGTTTGGTTAGAATTTAAGAAAAAATAACTGGAACTTTGAACTAATTTTCTGAATTTCAATGTGACTAAAATGAGGTCAATTTGACCGCGACTCCTATGGTGAATATTGATATGATTGAGTGTTCGAGTTTTACTAATGACTGTGTTGATTATGTTCAACTGATTTCGATAGTAATGTAACTGTTAGTTATTCGGATATTTTCAAAAAAGTTTACTATCGCTAACTGGCTGGATGCGATCAACAAGATACTTTAAATTTAGATTTCAAGTTATTCAGCACTCAATAGTAAGACGTACTTATGGTCCTTTAAGGGACTTATACTGTCAGAAGGATACAAACCAACTTTGAAGTCTGAAACTGTCATAAAGCTGTTAGGTAAGTAAGAAGAACTACGTAGACATGACGTTGATTTTAAGTCAGTGACCAATCAATTAATCTATTTATCTATCAAAAAGAAGCTGTAAAAATGAAAAGTACTGAACAGATATCGTATATTAATAAGAAAATTTTCAACACCAACGATTTCACATTCACATACTTTGATAATCAAGAAACCAATTATCACTTGAACTCAATCAATTTTTCATAAAGTAAAATTACTAACTAATATAATTTATGCGTTAAATTTCCTTGATAATCGAAACTGTCATTTCTCGAACCCAAGTACTTTTTTATTAACAGTCATGGAATTAATATATCATGTACTGTTTTCAATACTAATATAGTAAATTTAATGTGAAATTACACATTGCCTTTGCAAAATATGAAAATCGTAAACTCAATACATTATTTGCACATCTTCCTTCAGTTGTCTTTTACATAATTCATGATTCTTCTAATTCTGTTGTTATTCCAACTGCTTTCTATATACCTTCCTGTTCTCTTCAATTCCAGCTCATGTTGTCAGGAATTTCACTTCCAACTGATTTTGAATACTACTTATATGTTTCTATATAGATAGGGTACATCACACTAACTGAAAGATTAGATAGAAGGTTGTTTGGCTCAATTTTTATAAATTATTTCATGATTTTATTAACTGATATGAGTAGTAATTTGTTTGTTTTTTACAGTATTCATCAGTACTCCTCAAGTTTAATAATGAAATTAATTATTGAAAAGTGTTACCAGGTTTAAGATGAATCATGTCGTTTTAAAATTGTAGTATTTCCTCATAAAATAAAATAAATTTATTAATAATATAAATGATTAATATACAATGTTAACTTGAATAGGTTTAATGGTTAAATGGAATTGTGAGAATAATGATCCGAATAAATAAAGGATAACAATTTATAATTACAAATTATTTGGTCACAAATTGCTCCACATATAGAATCGAATGAAATAGGTAAGATATAATAAATAGGGGTGAAGGCTAATTACATTTCTCAAAGGTTTATATATGTTATAATATAGTAAGATATGAGAATAAAATAAATTTGAGCTTTGAAAATACCAAGAAAAAATTTTGTATGCCCATTAGTGAAGTTACGTTCTCATATCATTAGAATCGTTGTTAACTTACTGAGTGAGAAGCAGTTGAAAAAAATTTCTTCAAGATAAGTAGCTTTGGATTTTTGATTCGAGTAACTAATGCTTTATCCATTTGAAAGATTTTGATTATGAATATTTGTCCTGAGAAATTATGTCGTCTTTATGTATACTTCTATGCTCATTAATTATCGGTTTTATGATTATCATTGGTTCATTGGTCTCTACGTTATTGGTCGATAAACTGGATCTACACGCAAATTAGAAATTTTAGATCTGTTCTAAACAATCATCAAAATACAGCTTTCTTCGATTGTTTTCGAATAGTTAGACCTGACAATTGAAAATCAAGTCATTTAGTATAATTACTACATATTAAGTGACATTCACTTCTTCAATAGATGTATTCAACAGTTAATATTCATTTTAATTTTGTTCATTATTTACTGGATTATTTGTTTAAACTAAATTTTAATGACGTATAGTGGCTAGCAGTGGAATCTAGGACGCCCATTTCGTCCAATTTTGGACTCGTCAGCTGGATGTACCTGCTTCTCAGAGTTGATGGATTCCACTGCTAGCCACTATCCATCTTTGATTATAAAAGCTTGTGAATTAAAGCAATATCGAGGCATACGCACAATCTGCACATATGCCAATAACATACTGATCAATTGCAGTTTTAAACCTCAAGGGGAAATTACAAGCAAAACAATACCAAGTAAATTTAAATTTAATTGGTTATGTAACACACTGATAAATATTTAAACTCTGTAGTTTGAATATAAATTGCTTGTTGATAAACCTAAAATCTTAACTACATTTTCATTGCAAATTCATGATTAGGCAATACTGGAAAAATAGAATATTTAGCTACCTGATCATTAGTTTCAGGTGATTCATCAACTGATATCTGTCTGCAATCAAAGATCACTTCAAATCAAACTTATCTTTACAAATTATCCGATTGAATATATGCGTATTTGAAGGCATTTTTTGGAGATTACAGTGATTTCAATAGTTGAGATCATGACTCAATTGAAGCTAGACCACCATGGAAAACCTGAAAGCAATGGACGGACGTTTCGTCTTATTGTGGTACTCTTCAGCAGTGCTCATCCACGATCCCGCCTTACGGCATTCGAACCCAGGACCTATCAGTCTCGCGCGCAAGCGCTTAGCCACTAGATCACTGAGCCGACCGGCATCCAACGGTGTTAATGT